TTAAATGTTTATTTAAGGAAGAAATAATGCATTATAGATATGCTTCCTAAAAATGGAGTAGGTAAGAACATGTCCCCTCTCATGAGGCTAGAATTACCAGGCTATCAAAACTACACAAACATTTTACCAGAGTAAAAATTGCAGATTAACATTCCTCACTAATATAAACCCAACAATTCTTGACAAAATTTAATTGATTAAAATTACAGCTATAGGTGAAGTTGATAATACATAATGACCAAATGGGTTAATCTCAGTAATGACAAAGTTCTTTAACAGTAAATCATGGATTAGGGAGGGGCTCACATGACCCTACCCCTCCCTGCTGAACTATTGGCTATTAATGGATTCTGGGGGTTATTTTCAGTTATGTGCCTACTGAGGAACCCATCAGGCTCCAATGGATAGTTCCAAACCCATAGTCACACAGATGATCCTGGATAAATTCATTGGTTCTCAAAAAAAAGAACATGATTATGGGGAAGGGGACTTATAGATAAGAGGGAGATTAGATAAGGTGGGGATTGTAGTAATCAGAATGTACCTTATATGTGTATGAAATTGTCAAAGAAAGGGTTAAGGTTATGTTAAAAGTTAATACAGATTGCTGAATTAATAGCCACAAAAAATAAAAATAAAAGAGAAACATCACATCTTAATAGATATACAAAAAGTACTTGACAAAATTCTTCATTTATTATGATCAAATCTCTCAGCAAATAAATAAAAACAAATTTTCTCAACCTGAAACATAGTACACAGTATTAAGGTAATCTACAGTTAATTTTTTTTTTTTTTTTTTTTTTTTTTTTGAGATAGAGTCTCACTAGGTAGTCCCAGCTGGCCTGGAACTCACTACCGAGACCATCTCAGGCTGCCTCAATCTCGCAGCCATTTGCCTGCCTCTGCCTCCCAGGTGCTAGGATTAAAGGTGGGCGCCACTACACCTCACAGTTAATACCATTTTTAAAGGTGTGAAACCTATAGCTTTCTTTTTAAGATTTGAACTAAAATGAGGGTATTGGTTCTTTCCATTATTAATGCTGTACTGGAATTTCTAGTCAGTGCAATAAGCAAAGAAAAAAGAAGTAAAATTATCTGCACTCTCAGACGATATCATCATCCATGTTAAAAACAATAGTTTATAAAAATCTACCAGTACAGGTTGTTTGAGTTAGTAGAAAACATAGTATTCCAAATTAATTGTATTCACATATTATCAATAAACAACTGGACATGTAATAACCAGCAATACCATTTGCAACAGCAGTGAAATACACAAAAGATAAAGCCTCCGAAATATGTATGTATAAGACCTGCACAGTGAACATAACAAAACATTGGTGGGAAAAATTAAAGGACAAAGCAGCATTCTCGCCCCCTTTCCTCTGCCATCATGAACCACACACCTGATTCAGTTTCTCTCTACGCCTTCTCATAAGAATTTGAAAATCAAGCAATTCTTGGCCAAGAAACAAAAGCAAAATTGCCCCATCTGCCAATGGATTCAGATGAAAATTGGTAACAAAACCAGGTAAAACTCCAAGAGAAGACACTGGAGGAGAGCCAAGCAGGGTGAACGAGGATCAGAGAAGACACTGGAGGAGAGCCAAGCGGGGTGAACGAGGATCAGAGAAGACACTGGAAGAGAGCCAAGCGGGGTGAACGAGGATTCGCATAACAAGGAACGACTGTTCGTGCTGAGTCCTGATCAACCATCAATCCTGTCAGACAGAGCTGAAAGTTTTCATCTCTGGAGATTTTTTATTTGCTTTTTATCTGTTCTGCATGAGCAAGTTGGTTCTATGGGTGTCTTGATTGAGATCTTATTGAATCTATGTGTTAAGAAGAACGGCTATCATAATAATGTTTAATCTTCCATTTCAGATATATAGAACTTCTTTATTTTTGAGACAGGATCTTACTACGGGTAGCCCTGGCTGGCCTTGAATCACAAAGATGCCCACCTGCCACTGCCTCCCAAGTGATAGGATTAAAAGCATATACCACCACATCCAGCTACTTACAGATTTTTTATAAATAGGAATTATCGGGGCTGGAGAGATGGCTCAGTGGTTAAGAGCACTGACTGCTCTTGCAGAGGACCTGGGTTCAATTCCCAGCACCCACATGGTGGCTACAAACCGCCCCTCCCATTCCAGGGAATCCGAAACCCTCTTCTGACTTCTGCGGCATTGCACATCACAGTGCACTCACATGCATGCAGGCCATACACTCATACACATAAAATAAAAATAATAAATAAAATATTTTAGAAAAAATAGAAATTATCAAGGAGATTTGAAAATGTATGTAGAAAGAAGTGTAAAATTGGAGGACTTACAGTACCTGGTTTCAAGACTTATTATGTTAGACTGAGCATGGCAGAGTAGTAGGAGCGTATGGAGGGATGTATTAATCTGTAGAATGTTCAGAAATAGGTCTCCCCAAATACTGTCACTAAATCCTTAGAAAAATCATCAAAGTAATTTAATGAAAGGAAAAAAACTTTTAAAAAATTGTGCCAAAATAATGGTATGTACAAATGCCAAAGAAAATGAATTTTCACCATGCCTCACACTACATGGAAATTTTAATTTGAGTTGGGTCATGGACATAAATGTAAACCAAAAAGCACGGCCCTTCCAGAAAAGAGTAAAAAGAGGAACTCTTGTTCAGTTGAGTTGGCATCTGGGTACAAATGCTTGCCTGGATGGGACTTACCATGTATGGTGAAATACATGAGGCCTGGTGGGGGGATGGAGGCAGGGGTCTAAATTTGATTAAGAGCTGTTGTATGAAAGTACAAAAGCTCAATAAAATTTTTTGAAAAGAGGAAATCTTTGTGTCCCAGGAACAAGCAAAGCCACTGTTATGAAAAGTGGAAATCAAAGCCACTCAAATGCTGGGGGAAAATATTTGCAAAGTTGATGCTTGATGAAGGAAAAGAACTCCTTGGTGCTTTATACTTGGAAGATTAAAAACTTTTTAAAAAATAAACAAAGGTTTTAAATAGATGTTTCTCCAAGAAGATATATAAAAATGTGAAGAACACACAAAGATACCTGATTAGTTAATAGGAAAAGATAAAAATTGCCATAGGATACTATGATGTAACACTAGAGTGGTTAAAATGCAAAAGACCCACACCAAGTGATGTGGAGTAATTGGAACCCAATATTAGTTAGACTGACCAGCGGTCATTCTCTCTCTCTCCTCTCTCTCTCTCCTTGTAAATCTATCTCTATTGCTATATAAATACTAATATTTGATGTTTATACAAAACTCGTGTATTTAAAAATTTCAATTACATTTATTTATTTATTTTGTGTTTGTGCATGTGTGTGTGTGTGTGTGTGTGTGTGTGTGTGTGTGTTTGTGTGCTTGTGTGACAGGGCATATGCACCTAGAAGTCAGAAGATAACTTACAGGAACCAGTTCTCTCCTTCTGCTTGTGGGTCCTGAGATCCAACTCACAACATCAGGTTTGACAACAGGTGCTTTGACCCACTGAGTCATCTTACTGGCCCCTATAAAGGATTTATTAATAACTCAAAAGTGTAAACAACCCTACTGTCTACCCACTGATCCAGTTGATGAATGTGAAAATACTATTTAGCTATGAGCATTTAGGAGCATGCTCAAACAATAAAAAAAAAAAAGAACAAACCATTGACAAACCGAATGCAGATGAATCTCAGGAATATTGGACTAAGACAGACAGAAATGCTGTGCATTTTGTGTGCATGCTGCACACTTCATTCATATAAAACCCTAGAAGTGGAAGACTAAAGTGATAGAAAGTAGACAGGTGCTTGCTGAGAGTTAAAAGTGGTGGCAATAGGGCCCTCTAATGAAAGAATAAAGTCACAAGACAAATATATCATTGATTGTATTTATGTAAAATTCAAAACCTCAAAAACTAATGAACTTCTTAGAATTGCTTATATAGGTTTAAAACCTCCAAATAAAGGGGATGATCAATATGAAAGCTAAGATTTATTGGTTCAGGGGGAGAAGAGAGATGCTGTCTCTAGAACGAATATAAGACCTAAAAAGAGAACAGATTTCTGCTTCTTGGAATTGGTTAAGATTTACTTAGTGTTTATTTAGTGCTCATTTATTGTGCACTTTATATTGTTGTGATGGAATCCTGGGTGTCAAGTTGACTTGATCTGGGATTAACTGAAATGAGAGAGATCTTCTTGACTGGATCATCTGAAGCTGGAAGACACACCCTAAATGTGGGTGTTACCTTCTGATGGCAGCCCGTATAAAAGGCCAAGGCAGAGGAGAACGCTTGCTTTTTGCCGTTTGCCTTCTCTCTTGCCGGTGAGTTCTTGTTGCTATAGACTGAAGACTAGCCGGTCTTTTGGAATTCATCAGACCTTCAGCACCGGATTGGGACTACTGAGACATCCAGTTTTGTGGACTGGGCGATTATTGGATTCTCAGCCTCTGCAGTGTGGTGCAGCCATTGTTGGACTACTCAGACCTATCCTGTGAGCTAATCTGATATATATATTCATGAATATATATTTATTCTACTGATTCTGCCTCTTTAGAGAACCTTGACTAATACAATTATGCACATTATTTTTTAACTTATTCATTGCAAGAGTCCAAGAACCCCAAACTGGAGCTCTTATTTCATTAAGATATGAAGAAATCAATTTTTTTAATCAATTTTTATGCTGATTTTGATAAAAGTAGTCTGAAGACCATATGTTGAATGTATGTATTATATTGGCAGTTTGTTGTTTTCAGTCTTTTTTTTTTTTTTTTTGACAGGGTCTCCCTGTAGCCCCAGCTGGCCTGGCACTCACTATGTAGACCAGGCTAGACTTGAGTTCACAGAGATCTGCCTGCCTCTGCCTCCTGAGTGCTGGGATCAAAGTTGTGTGCCACCATGCCTGGTGTGATGTTTTCACTCTTATAATAAGTCAACATTTCAAAAAGCACAACACAATAATTAAAGGAGACATAATAAAACACAACTCTTCCAAGTTTAGAAACTTTCACTTTACTATACTATTTACAAAAGAAAAATAAAAAGAAGTTGCATTTTTAAGGCACATTAGTCAAGTTACACAAGATCTTGATAAAGAAACATCATAAAACATCTCCGTACCACACAGTACCACACAGAGAAACCTGGTCAACCATTATACCATGAGTTAGGCATGTCGTACCTGAAAGTCAAACCAGTGCCCTCTGCCATTTGCCTAGAAAATATAAAACCCTGGCTTCTCATATAAAACATGAAATTATTGTCAATAAAATTCATAGGAATAAAATTTAGTTAAAGGAAATAAAATACAAGAAAGGTGATATTGGTCAGCTGCCAGTCAATATCAATATTAATATTAAGCTTTCCTAAATGCACTAAGTTGCAACAGTCAGTCCAAGCAACACTGCTTAATTATTTTTTATCTAAATACAGAGTGCTGCTATTCTAAGAAGCCTTGATATGGCACCATTTTATGTTACATATGTACAAATGAGTATATATACACATCATGGAACTAGTCCAGTCATTCTATCTAACAGCAGGGACTTGTCATTCAGAAGATTTCCTGTTCATTTCTTGTGCATTGCAAGGAGCCCAGACAACAATTTCTTTCTGTTTTCGTACATTCTGGGAAGTTTTAACACACAGCTTGTTTTTCTTGTGGAATGATAAAGAATATTCAGGATTGAGGGCTTATAAATAGTGTCTTTACTCGAACAATTTAGATGTTAGCTACACTTTTGATTTCTGTGCTTCTACTAGACTGTACGATCCTTTCATGTTGGCTTTTCTTGCAAAGTAAATGATCATCCCGATGGCAGGTATTATTAAGGAGGACACACAGTAGAGCACAAGAAGTTCAGGAGAAAAATAGTCCTTGTTATTTTCTCTTCCTGGAAAATAACCAAATGGATGCAATTAATGTCTAGTACAAAGAGAAATCATTTAATCATAATGCGTATTTTACTGTAGTAGCACAACCAGTTCTCCAGAGAGAAGAGGATCAAAGTACAGCCGAGGACCATCAAGACCCAAAAATACACATTTTTTCTGAATTATCCAAATAACTAGTGAGTGGTTGCTATAGTTATGTTCGATCTGAAGATGAAAGCTCTTGACTTCCACAAACCTGGCTCTGAAAAAAAATGTTCGAGGTGTGAAATGGAAGGGAGGGTACAACATTTTAAGGATTTATTTTATAAGGTCAGGATCTAGAAATATCTACTAAAGTCCTGGGACTCTGATTATCATGAATTGAAATGCCTAACCAGTTCTCTAAGATAATCCTTGTAGCATTCAGTGTGAGCCTATTATAATGAATAGAGCATTCTTGTGTATGGCTGGCACATGTTTTATGCCATGTTCTATGTGTCTGAAGCAAAAGCATCTTAATATGATTAAGCATTTATAGCCTCTCTTGATTTATTGATGTTTTTTGGATAGTTCACTTTAAATGTTTTAGTTACTCAGAGAGAAATTCTCTGATCTACATCTCTCCAAATCTAAATTAATAACCCAACATACTTTCAAAATCCACCCACCGCACTTTCCCTTCCTATCTCCTCTAGCAATTTGTAATTCAACATTTGTCCATATGATTATCAATTAAATGTGGTTTTCCCTAGAGCTAGATAAGCTTATCTGAGATGTCTCGCCACTGAAGAGCCAGTACTTAAGCCACTACTTGGCATATTTGGTAACCCCACAATATTATTTGAACATAACAAAGATTTTTCTTTCTAAATTCTATCATTTTGCCCGGAGTTCAGAAAAATGACAGCACACACACACACACACACACACACACACACACATTAAAATTAGTACTCTTTCTGATAGCCTAAGGAAACATCTGACAGCCGCAATACCACTTAACTTCTGAACTTCATTAGAAACATCTCCAGAGAGCGTGGTATTCTCCAGAGACTCAGTTCTGTCTGCTTGCGCACCACTGTGTGGCCTCCCAATTAAGTTTCCCTAAGTGGGAGGATGTATTGCCTCAGTCCTGGCAGGACTTAGTGATCTGACTTGGGGCATCACTGCATTCCTCCTAGAGATTTCTAAACACAAAAAGTTACTCAAGTAGAAAGGAATCACTAGCATCATCATGCGAAGGGAGTTGTTTTAAAATACGGAAGCACCAAAACAACGCTTCACCTTAAGCATCATGATGATGGTTTTATTTTTCTGCTTTCCCTGAAAGAATTGGTGTTAGAGTAATAGTTTGATGTGGTATTCATCACCACAATTACGGCTAGGTGTCAGTGTTGATGACATATTACACAAAGGCATTTCTGATCTTATTGTTTTCTTTTCAATTTAATTATGTATTGTCTTTTGCCTTTCAGTTTGTCCCTTAGACATCTGTTGAAAACTCAAATTTGAGTCTGTTGCCAGGGTAGCCTTCTAACATATTTTTCTATTGCTTGTATAAATATTGAAAAATTTTAAAGACTCCTGACCATTTGTATCAATGGAATACGTTTAAGTCAAAACAAAACAAATGCAAAAATTCAGCTAAAGGAAAACTAACTCAAAATATCCAGTAGGAAAGGGAGTCAAATTTGGATCTTTATTGATATTTAGCTATTTTAAAGAATATTCGGAATGGGAACATGAATTTCTAGCCAAGTGCCTAATATTCAATTTGTTCATTTAAATAATAAGTAAAAGGCAAATATGTGATTAATCCAGCAATTTGAAGAAACAATGTGAAAATCAAATCTACAAAGTGAAGAAGCCATTTTCATGTGTCTTAACATGTTCAAGCAGGATCACAGAAATCTTGGCACGCATTTTGCTAAGGCTAGGTTAAATTAGAGGTAGCCAGAGGCATTGAGGATTAAAGGAAAGAAGAAGGAAGGAATTTCAGTCTAGTCCTGATTGAGATCTCAGTCTACCTCACTAGAAACGATGACAGCACCGGCCTCTGTGCCATTCTGAGTGACTCAGCGCAAGGCTAATGTCCCATTCTTTGAACAGATCACTTTTTTGAAGGATAATCACTGCAGGTGAATGACTAAAAGTTTTATGTATAATTGTGGTACTTTCCTAGTCTTTAATATTTCTAGGTGGATGTATTGATGTTGTGCTTGAAGAGGTACTATGAAGACAGGAAAATATATGGTTATGCTTGTAATCTTGAGAAACTTGGCCAGAGTAGTAAACTTTTTATCTGTTTTCTCACTTGGGTTTATATGTTCTCTACACTGAGAGGTGCTTAATTAACTGTCATAGTCAAGGCCAGACCTCTGGAGAGTTGGCACTTGCTAGCAATACTGTTGATCTACCACACAGTAAGGCTTCCCATACACAACAGGAACTCATTGGTGTGCAGAGGGTCTGAGACAGATTAGTCAAGGCTGACAGCAACAAGATCAACAGGTTCTACCTACTGTGCATTCACAAGAAAGGAGAGGAGGTTAAGGAGCTACAGCATGATTTCGATGAAGCCACTGTCCCCCTTTCTTCTTCATTGGGGTAAAGTAGGACAGTCAGGACATGGACTTAAAGGACGCATTTGTGTAATCCAGAGATCTTTCTATGTTGTTCTGATCAATATTGTTACTCCCAATGACTGTACTCAAAGGAGTCAATCCAGAAAATATGCAATGACTACATAAACAGAAAATAGTGTTCCTCTCTAGTAGGAAGAAAGAGGGTTTGCACAAAATTATTTTTCACATGTGCCAATTCTACTTCTTTACTTTTCTTATAAGTCCTAGGGAAAGGTTTGGAAAATACGGTTAAGCACTTAGCCATTCTAAGACCTCAGAGATCGATGATGAATTGGTGGCCTTGAATGAAAAACAAACAGGAATTCCACATTCACCAATGATTAATGTCCAGTTCCTGGCTAAACGCGATAGGATAGAACAGCAGCTGTGCCTGATTATTTCAAGAAACATTAAGAAATAACCACAGTCAGTGCAGAACTTGCCTTCTTTCACCAACTCTATCCAATACTCGAAATGTGTTATTATCTTTGGAAACTGAATAATTAAAAAAAAAAGAGAGATGCAAACACAAAAAGCCAACCTTTCACATCAAGTGTTAAACTTCTTAGCTGTGAGCCAACTTCATTTTTAGATTCGCATTCGTACACTCCTGCATCCTCCAACTGAGCCTTGCGGATGGTGTATGCGCCACCGACCGACTTTAGCACTGTGTCTCCCGTCTCTGCTTTCTTCTTCAGGATTATCCAAGTTTCGGGAAGATTTCCACACGTGCAGGAGATAATGACGGTGTCTCCCTCTTTGACACTCTCAGAAGGAAAAACTGTAAGTTGGATGTCTTTTGGAGAAACTAAAGGGAGAATTTGAGCATTAGCTTGGATTGAGGGGCACACTGACTCCATACTAATTTAAGGCTGCTAATAACAGCTGCCAGGGAATTCTTTGTGCTCCTTTCTGCCAAAAAATGTTAGGAAAAGCAAGTAGAGAAGCCAGGCATTTGTTGAATTGCAAATGATCATGTTCTAAGCAAAGATCACGTCTGTGACATTTTTTTGTGCTCCTTAATGTGGTTCCTTAGCCAGCCTAGCAGAAAGTATAGCTTTAGAATAAATAAATAGCTGTAGAATTCAAATATGAAAACACTTAAATATTTTAATCACATTGTTAAGAAAATTTTTCTTGAAGTACAAAAGCCTCTACAGGCTTCTGAGTTGAGCTAGATGTGCCCAAACCAGGAAATTAAGCTGTAGAGAAAGTTTTTAAAACTGTAACAACAGAATTACCACTTTTCATGCTCCAGGCCTTGGATTGTTTTATAAGTGCTCCTCTGAAGGTCAGCTTTTTTTTTTTTTTTTGAGACAGAGTCTCTCTGTAGCCCCAGCTGGCCTGCAACTGACTATGTAGACCAGACTCAGAGGTCCACCTGCCTCTGCCTCCCAGGTGCTGGGATCAAAGGCATGCCCCACCACTCCCAGCTCTATTTTATCACTTCTTTGACATGCCTCCCCCAAAGCCACAGGACCATGATGTCCATCCTAAAGTTTTCTCTTCTCCATTTCTCTTAGGTGATCTTACTGTGTTGCCTAGGTGGCCTCAGCATTGCCTACGGTTTTCTTTAAGGTTATGCAATGCCTTTCTAAGAGTCTTCCTTTAAAATACAAACCTCATTCAACCAAGGCAACAACAACAACAACAAAATCTCACTAATACTTTGACAAGAATAATATCACAGGATACCAGAAGAAATGGCAATCCAAGTGAAGAAAATAATCCTAATGCCTTAAAGAGAAGGTAGAGAGGGCAATCCACGTTGATCCCTTCAGAATTTTGCTCATCAGAGCCCATGGCTTCAATGTGCCAAGCAGAAATTTCATTTTCAATCTCAGGTCCCCTCTGTGGAGAAGGCAGACCTATATCTGATGACCTGATTCACGCTATTGATTGGCCACAGGAAGAACCAAAGGGCACAGTTACTGTGACTTAATCTCGGTGTTCACAAAAGGTGTCCCCTTAAGTTCTGAAGCAAATACTAGCAGGCTTCCTGTGAGTCCCTCTAGGATCCAAGTGAGCCCAATGTGGTGATTTTAATCCCAAGTAATTTCCAATACTTGCTTCTTCCTAACTTGGTTCTCAACACCATAACCATCATCTCCTAAGTGTCACTGGAACCTCCAGCCCAGTTTCTGGAGGTGAAAAGACTTCCAGGACAAATGACTTAGCCTGAAATGAGAATCCATCCCAGGAGTAGTGCAGAAACAGTGTGACTTCTTCTAATAAAAAATAAAGATTTTTATTTGCTTTTTTTAAGACTTATTTTTAAATTATGTGTGTTTATGTGTCTCTGGGTATGGGTATGTACACATGAGTGCAGTGCTTGTAGAAGTACCGGGAGTTGTGAACTTCCTGACATGGGTGTTGGGAGCCGAATTCTAGTCTTCTGCAAGAGCAGAATGTGCTTCTGAATGCTGAGCCATCTCTCCAGCCCCAAAGATTGTATTTTCAAAGAGGATCTTGTTCATAATCAATAATATAAGAAATGTACTACCAATAATTTAAAAATCGTATTCTACCTACCTTGGATGATCAGTTCAACTGTATTTTTGCTTATTCCAGCCTGGTTAATCCCCTCACACACATAAATGCCAGAATCTTCGATTTTTGTAGAAATTATGGTAAGAGTTGTATCCTCAGAAAGAGGCTGCAGTTCCCCACCATTCAGCTGTCTACTCCACAGGATTTTTGGAGCTGGAAAGCCATCACTAGAGCAGGTCAGGTTCACAGGACTGCCTTCCACCAGAACATGGGAGGGGCTGACCAAGATGGTAGTGTCCTTGGGGGCAACTGAAAAGGAAGAGACACAGCTTGACCCTCTTATGTCCTGAATTCCAAATCGTCTGGACAATGTTGTAAAACTGGGCTACAGACTCAGTGGATTAGCATAGTGTATAAACTTTGATAAGTAGCTCAGGAAGTTTCTGTGGCAGAGACATAATGAGAGCTAGAACACAGACAATGGGTGGGTATTTTCTAATGGCAGCAAGTTCTATATAAACACAAAGGCTCATCTACAGTGTGTATTGCCATTCTGGTACATCAAGCAAAGCAAGATTTATTTAAAGCTCCCCAGTGGATGAGTAGAATCCATTTTCTACCCCTTCAGTCTGGACTGGCTATGTGACTAACTGTAACCATGTGACTAACTTTGAATGTGAATGAAATGACACAGGAGACTCCCAAACTTGGGCCTTTGGGAGGCGGCTTTCATGATCACCTTCCTGAAACACTGCTCTGGACAGTAAATCTAGACTCCCTTTCCTGAGGAGACACTACATGAAGAAAGAACAGCTGGAACCACTCACACAAGGCCTAGATGTGCAGGAGAGACCACCTGTGACCAGCTAGCTACTGGCCTGCCTGAAGATGGCTGAGTGGGCTCTGCTAATCCTACACAAGGCAGAATAACTACCTGGTGGCCTGTTCCCGAACACCAATGCATGGATTCATATATAAATAAGTGATTCTTATTTTACATTTGGGGGTGTGATTTATTAGTCTCTATTATATTGAATTTTCTTTTCATTTCCTTTTCACAAAGGATTTAGTTACTAACCTCTGTTAGCTATTGCCTGAAAAACACAATAAAGAAATCCATGTTCAGTTGCAAATGCCTCGTGTGTGTACTTACCATTGACATAAAGGGTCTGTGTGCTCTGCCTTTGTTTGGGGTCAGATTCCATCTCACTGCTATGTAACTTAGCCTGACAAACAAGAACTTTCCCAGTATCTTCAGTGGTGGGGATGAAGGTCATCTCCAAGCTTTTGGTCTCTAGGGCTTTTCGTTCCATTTCCTCCAAAAAGAACTTATTCATCAGTGTAGTCTCCCCCTTTAGTAATTCGATCTCCAAATGGTCAAAAGGGTACACACTAGGGACTGTGCAGTTTACAGTGACAGGTTTCCCGTGCACAAGTGGTCCACTCATCTCAATTTCTGGATCTCTAGGGAATGCTGCAGATACCAAGCAAAAAAGATGGTGATATGTGATATTTAGGGGAAAATTCAGTCAAACTCTATTGAATGCAAAGGTCTCAAAGTGACAGATTTTGGGGCTGGAGAGATGGCTCAGTGGTTAAGAGCACAGGCTGTTCTTGCAGAGGACACGGGTTCAATTCTCAGCACCCACATGATGGCTAACAACCATCCTTAACTCCAGTTTCAAGGGATTCTACCCTCTTTTCTGACCTTCTTGGGCACTGCATGACATGGATGTACTTATATACATGCAGACAATACACTCATACATGTAAAATCAATATAATAAATAAAACATTTTAAAAAGTGGGAATAGCATGATCTCAATACATAAATAATTATAATATAATCATAGATAATAGAAACAAAATAGTCTAGTAAGTCATCAAGTAATAAATATTTTTGCTCCTTATTTTTCTCTTCTAATGCCACCATATTCCTGAACATGTGTCTCATCTTTTCTAATAGCCTCTAACATCTTATCAATTAACTGTATTTTTAATGCTTTAAATATTTGTCATAATATATGGAATGCTAGAGATGAACTCATCATTTAACCTTCATTACCTACATTTACCTGATAAAATTGGTAGTAATTAACTTATTCTATAATTAGGAAAATTAAAACTTCCAGGAGTGAAAGAGACTTTTCATAGTATATCATACCTTGGAAGTCATTGAGCTGAGCTCAAATCTGTTCTCTGACCCCAGAACCTTGGGTGTGTTTCTCAGTATCAAATATCTTATGATCAAATTTAGGCAACAAGTTTTAACTATTTCTCAGGTGATTTGTTTTTTTCTTTTTGAGACGGGGTTTCACTTTGTGGCCTTGGCTAGCCTGGAACTTGCTATATAGACCAAGATGCCCTCACATTCACAGAGATATGCCTGCTTCTGCCTCCTGGATCAGGTAATTCTTGTAACTAAGAAAAGAACTGTATTAATACTGCATGGCGTTCTCTCATTTATGGAACCTAATCTTAAAAATTATGTGTGTGTGTGTGTGTGTGTGTGTGTGTGTATGTGTGTTTATATGTGTTTGTAGCTCATGAAACTAGAAAGAGGATCATGAGAGGAGAGGAAGAGAGCTTAAGAGAGGTGGGAAATAGAGAGGGTGATGATAGAATATGTGTAACTGGAAAGCAGAAGAGGAGGCCATCTGGGGAAGGAAGGGAAAGAGCCAAGAGGAAATGGGGCATGGGTGGGCCAAGGAGTAGATAATTACGCATGTGTATGAAGATGCCACAGTGAAACTCATTACTTTCTATGCTAAACTACAGAATTAATAATAAAAAGTAAAAAAAAAAACTGTCTTAACCGAATTACTTAGATTCTAACTAGTTACTATCTAATCTAAGTAACAATTATACATCTTGTGCAAATCAACAAAAATGAGACTAAAATAATTATTAAGGGTAAGAGTAATGCTAAAAAAAAAAACCCTTAAGCAAAACATTGTTAAAGTGATAGATTATTTTCAAATACATCCAT